ACTTGTGGGGGAGGGGGAAAGGGCATTTTTTGAAACCTTAAAATTTGTACCCCCATAATATGCGGAAATAAAAAAAATGTTAAAAATGTTTTTCAAGTATTTTAATTATTTTATATTTGATTTTGACATTATTGAAAAGCATTTTTAATTAGTATTAAATTAGTTATTTAAATTATTTTTAATTAATTTTTATTTTATATATGAACAAAAATAAATAATGACCATTCCCTATCTTCAAGTTTATCTGAGTTTAATAGGCTATTCCTGAGATTGCTTCATTCTAACATGTTTCTGAACCTGCCCTCATGCATTTAATTTACTGTTTTCATGTCTTCTTTTTCCTGCTTTTTTCCACCCAGAACTGTTTTCAGAAAAGATAAAAAATATGAGAATTTCTTTGCTGAAAAATATTTTTATTCTGCCATCATATTTAATTAGTTGGGTGTGAAATCTAGGTTCACAATCATGTTCCTTCAGAACTTTGAAGTTATAACTTCAGTAACTTCTAGCATCCAGTCTTCCTGATGTATAATCGAGTTCCATTTAAATGATTTGAATTCTTTTCTCTTTTGATGCTTTTAGGGCATTGTTTTTAGGATTCAGACCTTCATGTTTTACAATTCACAGTTTTACTGTTGTGAATTTCTTTTTTATAAGTTATCTCTCTGGCATTGGTGAGCTCATGTCTTTCTTGAGATCTCAGAGATGTTCTTGTCTTTCTATATTTTTTCTCTGGTAAAGACCTTACCTTCTCATTTGTGGGTTTATTTATTTTCTCTTTTTAGGTGTTTATTTTGGTCAAATGTTGGGATGTTTCACCATAATTTGATCTTGTCTCTCCTATACTCATATCTGTGTTGCTATTTTTTTATTTTAAATACATTTTCACTTTTATTTTTTCTAGCAAACATAGTCTTTTCTCTTTGCTCAAAAAGGTATATAAGTGCCCTTTCTGTTGTTTGATTATTTTTGTACCATAAAACAGTATTCTTGTTTTATAGATGTAAAGACTTCTTGAATCCCTCTGTAAATACACTTTAGAAAGGTTTGGTTTGTTGGTTGGTTGGTTGGTTTGTTGGTTGGTTGGTTGGTTGGTTTTCTATTAAATTATGTTCTTTCACTGAATGTTTTTTCAGAGTCTAGTGTTCTGTTTCTTATTGAAGTCTTAGATATTCATGCTGCTTGTTTTACTTACATGTACATGTTTGAAAATCAATAGTTGTAGGATGAACTGAACACATTTTGGTATTTCTTTGGATGTTGTGCAAATCTTTTCTCTCAAAAACCTCTCTTCAGGGAATTCTCATGGTAAACTCTGTGAATGTAGGCTAAATCACTTCCCTTCTGTGAGGATAATGCCTTAGGACTCTGAATATCTTGAGCAAGACACCTTACATATTTTTCTGAATCAAAAGTTCCTATACCAGGAATCTTAGCTCTCTCCATATGATCTTAAGTGTTCAATTGAGCTGTGATTTATTTTTTAAAAATTAAAAACCCTATGAGGGCAAGAACTGTATCTGTCTTGTTTTATAGCGAATTTCAAGTATAAATAAATTTTTTTATTAGAGGAAGATCCCAACATGGAGATAACCAATTTAGATTTCTTTGGCACTTTTGTAAAAAGTCAATTTATTTTTATATATGTATGTTTTATATATATATATACACATAATATGTATTATATAATATTTCATATTTATATATGTGTGTGTGTATTAGGATCTGTAACTGGACTTTATATACTATTTCAGTGATTTATACCTTTCTCCTTTATATAAATGCCAAATTCTTTTGATTAAAGTTATAGTAAACTTTGAAATTGGGTACTATAAATTTTACATCTGAGTTCTAAAATCTTCAAATTTTTGTGTCTATTTTTAGGTCCTATGGTTATCCATATACATTTTTGAGCAAGATTGTCAATATCTATTTTTAAAACTACTGAAATTTTGTTTGGGCTTCGGTTGAATCTATAGATCAATTTGATGAAATTTGACATTTTAACATTTATAGGACATTAACAAGGTTTATCTCTTCATCATTTAGGTGTTCTACAATTCCTCTCAAGAATGTAGCTTTCAGTGTATAGGGAGGTCGTGTGTGTGTGTGTGTGTGTGTGTGTGTGTGTGTGTGTGTATAATTATACCATGATTTTGGATGCTTTCATTTATAGTATTTTTTAAAATTTCATTTTCTAATTAATTATTGCTAGTTTACAGAAATATTATTGATTTTTATATTGACCTTGTATCAATAATCTTGTTAATTCAATTATTAGTTCTAATATCTTCAAATTTGGATTTGGTAGGGAGTTCATAAGGAATATTAAGATGTAGTTTCTTTGTAATTCCTTTTTTGAATATGTATAAAGGTAATGCTGGCCTCCTAAAATAATTTGGGAAATGTTTCTTTTATTCTATTTTACAGGAATATTTCTGTATAATAGGTATGATTTCATACCTATTGAAATATTGGTAGAATTAAATATTTACCAGTATTTGGTAGAATTCAAAGGAAGCTTTTCTGTACCTAGAATTTTCTATATGGGGAAGTTTTAAAATTTAAATTACTTTTAAAATATACATAGCACTATTCAGGCTGTAAATTTCTTCTTGAATGAATTATTATTATAATGAAATTATAATATGGTTGTATTTCAACCTGCCACTTTGCTGTTTGTTTTCTATTGATTTTTCTTATCTTTGTTCCTTTTACTTTTTCTTTCTGTCCGTGGATATTTTTGTGATGGCAGTTTATCTACTACAGTGGCTATATAAAATATATATATATAGGTGTACTACATATATGTGTGTGTATATATATATATATTTTTTTTTTTTTGAGACAGAGTCTCAGTTTATTGCCTGGGCTAGAGTGCCATGGCGTCAGCCTAGCTCACAGCAACCTCAAACTCCTGGGCTCAAGCAATACTTCTGCTTCAGCCTTCTGAGTAGCTGGGACTGCAGGCATGTGCCACCATGCCTGGCCAATTTTTTCTATATATTTTTAGTTGGCCAATTAATTTCTTTTATTTTTACTCTTGCTCAGGCTGGTTTCAAATTCCTGACCTTGAGCAATCTGCCCCCCCTAAGCCTCCCAGAGTGCTAGGACTACAGGCGTGAGCCATCACTCCCTGCCCATGTATGTATATTTTTATTTCTCTTTACTCTATGGTTTATATCTATGATTTATAATACACATCTGTAACTTTCACCTATAAGAGCCTTATAGTCCTAATACTTCTATGTCCCCCTTCCTGTTCCTTGAGCAATTATTATCATTCATTTCTTTTTATAGTGCTATAAACTGCACAATATATCATTACTTTTGCTTTAAGCAATCAATTATCTTCTATAAAGATTAAAAACCAAGGGAAAGGATCTTTTACATTTACCCATAAATTTACCAATTTCAACTCAATTGGTTCCTCTGTGTGAATCCAAATTTCTATCTTGTAAATTTTTCCTGGTCTAATTTTATTTAAAATTTCTTCAAGAAATTTTCTTCAAGAAATGAGTGCCATTCTTTCAGTTTTTTTTTTCCTATGCTTAAAAATATCTTTATTTTGCTTTCCTTTTTGACACTATTTTTTCACTAAGTAGAATTATGGGTTGGCAGAATTTTTCAGTATTTAAAGGTATCGGTACGCTTTGCCTTCTGACTTGCATAATTTCTGACAGAAAGTTTGTCTGTATTCTTCTTTTTCATAACAACATTTTTAAGATATAATTCAAATACCAAAAATTGTACCTACTTTAATGAGTACAATTTAATAGTTTTTAGTCTATTCACTGAGTTTTGTAATGTGGAAGCCAAGGGAAAATTTCCATTTTGCCCTCTGAAGTTTCCCTGAAAATCCACTGACAAGAGGCAGATTAATAGGAGAAAGGCATACAAACTTATTAATGTGAGCATGGGGAAAATTACGGTGATGATTACCCTACCATACAATGGGGTACAGAAAGTTATGTACCCATCTCTTTAGAGAAAAGGCAAATGGGAAAGTGTGGATGATTTTTAGGAAGGTAGTAAATAATTTTTAGTAGAATTCAATGGAATTGAAGAACATACAAAAAGCCTGGGACAGTCTCTTAGGCCCACAGAAGAGATAATGGTTTGTGACAAAAGTCTATAACCACATCTGTTGACTTAGTCTTTCCTCCTGCCATGTGAGTTCAGTTAATGAAAACTCAGGGAGGAAACCAGAGGTAACTGTTTTCTTCTTTGGGGAGTCCAGCCTTTAGACAGATGAGGGAACTACGGAGAACAACTTCTTCCTGTGATTTGGGAGAGACAGAGGACTGACAGACAAGATGGCAGGTGGTTGGGGGAGAAGGCCAGGGAGACTTTGAAGTTTCTCTTTCAGTGCAGCATGTCAAAGGGCCTTGTTTTGGAGTATTGGCTTCTGAGCCCCAACAGTAACCATCACCATAATAAATTTTAGAATAGTTTCATTATCCTGTAGAGAAAGAAGGATTTCTCTTCTCACCCATTGCTAGATTCAAGGCTGAGACCCTTTTAATAAAAAGGGGTCCTTTTAGGTGGGGTAAGACCTTAATATACTCCATTATATTTCCTTTTCAGTTTTGTTTGTTTGCTCTTTCTTATAGTCTCCTATTTTATGATTAAAATGTATATAACCTTGTGTCCAAGAAACAAATATAGTTACATGGAAACTATGAGAATGTGTAAATCATGTTTGATGGCTGATACCTCAAAGATCATATGAAAATCCGTACGTTTCTGCACAATGCAAATAAATAGGTCAGAGGTGAAAGCACGCATTAAAGACAAAAATCTTTTGTCATGTGGGTGGAGTAAAACTTTTGCCAATTTAACAAAGAAGATGCTGCTACTCTGTCTTCTTCATTTCTCTTGTACTAACCCAACATTGGACTCACTAACCATGACCTAGTTGTGCAAATCAGAAGGCCAGAGGACAACCACTGAAAAATAGATCTATACATTGTAAAAATTAATTTTTATTAATAATATTGTTACAGTGTAGTGTTAGGTAGTGTTTTAGAATTAGTATTTGCAGTTGTCTGAGTTGGTTTTATAGCAACTGGCCTATTGTATTCCCGTACCACACAGCAGGGCCCAACGTCGCATTGAGTAAATGTGTACTCCCAGCTGTTGCATTCAGGCTTGCAAGCGCCACGAACAAGACGACATTCTCTTTTTCTCGCTGCAACGTTGTTTGCAGCTTGCTGTGGAACTAGGAAAAAGTAGCCAAGATCATAAATCCAGGTTTAAGCTCCTTAGATAGATAGATGCGTAAAGTAAACTCTTTAAAGGACAGAGTTAAACAATTTTATTTTTGAAATCATTCCCAAGCAACTCTATTGAGATGTCTCCTACTGTAAGTTGGTACAAAAAAACGAATACTTATTTATCTAACAATATTTACTTTGCCACTAGCTTTACATTTTTTTATTTTTTTTTTTTGGTAAGTAAAACATTCTTAAATGTCTAATTTGTATATGCTCCCTCAAGAGTAAAAAGAAAAAGACTGTTGTAAACAATAGTCTCTATGTTTTGTGTTCTAAATAACCATCCAACTCCAACCCTCCTCTCCCACCATTTATTCGGCTAGTTGTACAAAGCTTAATTTTGACAACAGCTACAATATCAGTTCATAGAATTACATGTTGAAAGAGCAGGCAGTAGGAAGCATCTAATGAGTCACAATCTGATCACACAAACTGACAAAATAGATAGGTTCAATTCAACACCTTCAGAAAAATTTTTTTCATTATTTTCTCAACTATCAGTTCTACTCATTTCTTCTTCTATGGAAAAATAAAGTGACTTGCCTTATAAGCAGTTCATATCGTATCTCCTAAAAATACTTTTTTAAATAGAATAAAGCATCTATGAAAACATTTTGCCCTTCACATCTTTTCTATGTTAACAAATATTACCTGATAGACCACAAGATACAGTGAAGACAAAGGTCAGAAAAATGCAAAGTATCTTCATTGTTGATATGGTTACTTGAGTAAGATTTGAGACAGAGCTCATTTTTGAAAATTGTACTCTCTTTTGGTAAAAGAAAGACAGACTCCTGTTTTTATAGCCTTCTTAGAGTGATTACAATTCTGATTCATGCTGCCTTTCCAGATTGAGCACATATTCATGCAAATATTGTGAAACAGCAAGCAAGTACAATAGAGTGCTTTGTCTGTTGTGACCTCAATAAAGCAAACATGAACTCATTTTCAGCTGTATAAGAAAACAGTAGGGTTAAAGTATTCTTGATTACTAATTAATTGAAAACACATCATCAATATCATTTACATTTTCAGCATTTATTGCCTGTCAGGCACTATTCTAAGTGCTTTACATGGACTAACTTGTTTAATCCTCACGATAGATTCTATAACATAAGAACTTTTTATTTTCCAATTGAGAAAGCTGTGCCACAGAGACGTCATGTAATTGTCCTCAAATCGTACATATAGTCATTGGTACAACTGAAACTGAATCTAAAATGTGATGTCAGAGATTATTCTCTCAATCTCTGCCCTCTTCACTCTCACAACTGAGTAATGGGTTTTCGTCACGTGCAGTTATTCTTCGCACTCATGGCTTGAGCCAGATCCTGTTTCTGGAATTCAATTTTTCTACAAACAGAAAATATTTCTGTAATACAGTTTTAGTACTGTTACATTAAAAATGATCGTAGTTACACTGTAAAAATAATAAGTATCATTCTTTACGTACCATATAATGACTCAGTCATGAGAGTATCTCATTCATAGGGGAAGTCAGTGAGTTAAGAGTCTCAAGAGTACTGGATTTAGATAGAAAAAACTAATCTTTGGGTTTGACTTTCAGTTTGCTAGCTATGTATTTGGGATAAATATTCATCTAGATAAGCCTTAGGATTCTCTCCTTGAAGGCCGGATTGGTAGGACAAGCCATATTTAGGGTTTTAGTGGTAAGGATCAAATAGGTAACATGTGAAAAATGATTTTTAAGTAATTAAGACCTGAACTTAAACAATTTGACCTCTGTTTGTAAATCTAGCACTGGGTGCTAAAATCCAAATGGATGTAGCCTTATAAATTAATGATTTATGTTCTAAGTCCTTCTATCATTGAAAAAAACAAATTATAAAGGTATTCTATAATCTGAGTTTTACAAGCATCAGTCCATGCCACTAATCTATCAGAGAAATGTAAATCAAAACCACAGTGAGATTTCACATAGCCCAATGAGAATGGCTTTTATCAAAAAGTCCCAGAACAATAGATGCTGGTATGGATGCAGAGAGTGTAACATTTATACACTATTGGTAAGACTGTAAACTAATACAATCTCTATGGAAAATAGTATGGAAATTTCTTAAAGAACTAAAAATAGACCTACCAGTTGATTCAGTAATCCCACTATTGGGTATTTGCACAAAGGAAAAAGAGTCACTTTATTAAAAATAAGCTTGCACTAGAATGTTTATTGCAGCACAATTTACTGCATGGAATTTATACAATTTACTGATGTGGAATCAACTCAAATGCTCATCAACTCATGATTTGATTAGTAAAATGTGGTATATGTACACCATGAAGTACTACTCAGCCATAAAAAATGAATTAATAACTTTTGCAACAATCTGGATGGAACTGGAAACCATCCTCCTAAGTGAAATATCACAAGAATGGAAAAACAAACACCACATGTACCCATTACTAAATTGGAACTAACCAATCAGCACTCATGTGCACAGATAGATATAAAACTCAGTGGAAATCATGCAGATGGGAGGAGGGAGGAGGGGATGGGTGTATTCGCACCTAATGGGTGTGGTACACACAATGTACACTACCTGAGTGCACATTTATAACTTTGACTCAAGTATTACAAAAGCATTCTATGTAACCAAAACATTTGTACCCCCATAATATTATGAAAGAAAAAACAAAAGAAAAGCAGTAATCCAGTTCTCTTGCTATTTCTGCACTTCATTCCTCACTCAAAAGGTGCCTATATATTTATAGTCAAATTATGGAAAATCTATTTTCTCAAGATCCTCTCTAAAATGCTGCAAAGAACCCTTTGAACTGTTGGAGATTTAATAAGACTAATTGTATATAGGCATAGCAAGATAGCAAGTATGAAATATACAAAAGAGATTTAAAAGACCAGGCATTATCATAGTGATGGAATGGATAAGAAGATTACCTAGGACAATAGGGCCCATTTTTGCTTGTGTGCAGCCATAAGCCATTTCATCTGTTTAAAATAAGCCACTTCTATCAAGTTGGCACATCAAACTGGATGCACAGAGAACAAGTTAATTTATTTATTCATTGCTTACAATGGCTATCTTAGGTCTCCACTTGGAGAAATCCACATTCTAGATTTCTATTAATAAAAACTCTGTTTTTTGTGTTTTTTTTTTAGAGAGAAAGATAAAAGCATGGAAAAGTGAATAAGATTGGGATTGGGGTAGTGATTAAGGAAAATAAGAGAAGGTGCAGAGATAATTTTTTAAAGCAGAGTGGAGAATTGATTGGCCTTAGGCATATGAATTGAATGGTCAGGTGAGTGTGAGCTTTCATATTTATAATCAACTTAAATCAACATGCTGGAGTTTGAGATTTAAAAATGTTTTAATTTTCTTCATGCGATGTTAGATGATCCTAGCTAACGATTGTAGAGTTCAGAGCTACAGGTAAGAACTTGTGGAGAGGTAAGTTCTTTGTCGCAGAGAAGGCAGTTGGGCTTTAGGTGATGTTGGGCTGAGATATGCCTACAAAGGGAGCTTTTCTAGCAATTGAAACCAGTTTGCTGGTTTCAATAGCCAAGCCATGGATATTGAAAACACATGTAAAATCCAATATCCAAGCCATGAAAATCCATGGCTTGGATATTGAAAACACAAGTAAAGTGTAGGATGCTGAGAAGAGAGATGGTCAGAAGAATATACCAATTGCAATGCTATTCTCTTATGATAGCTGTAATCAAACATTTGATACTTTCTACAACTCTTCTGCATAAAGTCTTTTTTTTTAATTTCAGCATATTATGGGGGTGCCAATTTTAAGGTTGCATAAAATGCCCTTTCCCCCTTCCCCCTCAAGTCTGAGCTTTAAGCATGACCATTCCCCAGATTGTGCACATCTCATTCATTATGTATGTATATACCTGTCTCCTCCTCCCCCCTCCCACCTGTCCAATACCCAATAAATGTAATTCCTATGTGTCCACTTAGGTGCTGCTCAGTTAATACCAGTTTGCTGGTGAGTACATGTGGTGCTTGTTTTTCCATTCTTGGGATACTTCACTTAGTAGTATGGGTTCCAGCTCTACCCAGGAAAACACAAGATGTGCTATATCACCATTGTTTCTTAGTACTCCATGGTATACATATACCACATTTTATTAATCCACTCATGTATTGATAGGCCCTTGGGTTGTTTCCACAGCTTTGCAATTGTGAATTGTGAATTGTGCTGCTAGAAACATTCGAGTGCAGGTGTCTTTTTCATAAAGTGACTTTTGATCTTTTGGGTAGAAGCCCAGTAGTAGAATTGCTAGGTCAAATGGTAGTAGATCAGATGCCCAGTAGTGGAATTGCTGGATCAAATGGTAGATAATCTTGTATCGCTTTAAGGTATCTCCATATTGCTTTCCACAGAGGTTGAACTAGTTTGCAGTCCCACCAGCAGTGTAGGAGTGTTCCTATCCCTCCACATCCACACCAACATTTATTGTTTTGGGACTTTTTGATAAAGGCCATTCTTATTGGAGATAAGTGATATCTCATTGTGGTTTTGATTTGCATTTCCCTGATGTTAATTTGTCTGTCAGGCACTGTATCTCAGCTTTTGCATTCTAGGAATAACAGCCTAAAATAACATTATGGTCTCTTTTCATAGCAAAACCATAAGGTCATTTCCATTCTTTGCTCTTCACTACCAGATGCCATGCATTATTTCACTGCCTCCCCCTGACAAAAAAAAAATCTCCAAATTTAAATTTACATTTAAATTAACTGATGGCTGCAAAAACTTAAGATTAAATTAAAAGAATCGGTATGGGAGTAATTCTATATAACAGCAACAATGATTGACATTGTGGGAAATTTTCAAATTGGAAAGAATCATGTAACTTTCACAAATGAGTACAAGAATTAGACTACTAAGAAAACAAAAGATGGCATAGATGCCAATAGCTGGATCTTTTGCCACAATTTCTACTTCTTTCCACTTGAAAAAAAAAAAAAAAACAAAAAAAACTCTTAGACAAGCTCCACTGATGAGAGTTCACATATTTAGAAGTAATGAACCTGAGAGATTACGTCTCTGGCATGCCTGATTCTGCTACACGTTGTAATGCCTACTAAATGCTTTTTGAGTGCAAGGCACTCTTCTGTGTAGTTTATATATGCATTAATATGTTTAAACCTTATGAAAGCCCTGGCTGGTAGGTATAATGTTTAGTCCCATTTTAACATACAAAGAAACTGACACAAAAAGATTTAAGTTATTTACCCAAGGTCAATCAGTTTGCTGGTAAATGGTAAAATTGGAATTAAACATAGTCTGTTGTCAGAGCCTACATTCTTAACCATTGTTACTGCATACCCAAACCACCCGGGATAGTTGTCTTGGAGTTCCAAGGGAACTTATATAATAATGGAAAACACATGGTTGCAAAGATAAAAGGAATCTCACAATTCATTTGTTCTCACTCTTTATTTTTACAGCTGAGAGATACTTCTGAAAACTTTAAAGAGAAATCACTGCTAGAAGTTACTGTTTTTAGGAAAATCTAAGGGGAACCTAAGAGAATAGTGGGCCCTTACTTTTCCTTTCATCTCAACAAACATCTTTTCTAATCTAGCTTGAGTTTTCTTTGACATCCCAAGGAATGGAGGAAGCAATTGCCTATTATGTATTCTTACCGATAATTAGAAAAAACCAATTTTTTGTGTGGAACTCTGGCCTGATTGGTTGCTCCTGCTATATATTAAGCCATAAATGTTTGTCAAAGGCAATGATAGAAATTTTGAATTTTAA